ATTGATCCCAGGAGAGACATATGGTTAAATTATTAACCCTGTCCTACACTAGAACCATGACCTAGAAGAATGGGCTATACTTATGGATGCAAGATTTAGCAAGTAGGAATCCTGCTTAACTTTATTAATTAGGCAACCTTACACTCACACCCCTTCTCTTAAGGTCGTTTTGCCCAGTACTGGAGATTGAACCCAGGGATGATCTATCATTGAGCTATAACCCCAGCCCTTTATAATTTTTATTTTGAGGCAAGGTCTCGCTAAGTTGCTCAGGATGGCCTCAAACTTACAATCTCCTCCCTCAGCCTGTCAAGTAAGTGGGATAATGTGTGTATCACCATGGTGCTTGGCTAAACATTGGTTTTTTTATCTGTAGGTTGTGAATTTTCCCTCCCTTGCAGGTGGCCACTGTGAGGACCAAAATAAGGCAGACACTGAACCTAGGACACTTCTGGCCCAAAGTCAGGCTTGTCAAATAGCTACACTTATTGTTCAAGCTCCACCCAGTGTCTGATCCATGCCAGGCACCCCAGTCATGGTCACTGGGCTGTGATACTCTCACCTATGTTGATGGCCTGGTAGACATACTCAGGGTCATGCATGAGGTCACACAGGGCCATGAGGGCTTTCTGCCTTGTCTGCAGGTCCTCTGACTGTAGTTCCTTGTTCAGATTGGGCAGGGCCCAACAGCCATAGGCAATGTCAGCCTTGGTTGGATCGATGTTCGGAGGCAGGTACATGGAGATACGAGCATGAGCCATCTTTCCCTTTTGAAAGGCTTTCAAAATGAAGTTCTGCAGAGACCACTGATTAAAAGAATCCAAAAAGCTGTCATTATTGCTACTGTGATTTACAAGCTACTTTTTATCTGATCCTCAAAGGTGTGAGGGCAGATGGATAAGCATTTGTTTATTTATTTATTTATTTTGGTCTTTTTGACACAGGGTCTCCCTATGCAGTGCAGGCTGGTCTTGAGCTCACTTTGTAGCCCAGGCTGGCCTCGAACTTGCAACAGTCCTCCTGCCTTAGCCTCCCAAGTGCTGGGATTACAGGTGTGCGCCACCACACCCGGCAGGATAGGCATTTTTATGCCTATTTTACAGATGAAGAGTCTGAGAACAATGAAAAGATTTAAGATCACAACAAAGGTTAAATAGCAGCCCAAATTCCAAACCTCAGAGTTCTCCTATGCAACAGTTCTTAATAACAGAAAAAAACCACTTCAGTACTTTATAGGCTGGGGCCTCAGTCATTGGCACCAAAAAGACAAAACAGATCAAACAAGAAAACACCAAAATGATCTTTCCACTTGGTGCTTATCTGGCGCCAGCAATGGCTCGTAACTAATTCACCTACCACAAGCTAGACCTACTGCCACACGCCTGTAATCTCAGCACTGTAGGAAGCTGAGTCAGGATGATTGCAAGTTTGGAGCACAGTGTGGGTAATTTTGTGACTTAATGATACCCTGTCCCAAAATTTAAACACAAAATTAAAAGGCCTGGGGATGTAGCTCCGTATGAAGGCCCTATATTTAATCCCAGGAGCCCACAAAACTAAACTAAACTAAACACCTACACTATAAGGAGAGGACTTTATTATCCATAATTTACAAATAAGAAAACTGAGATTAAAAGCTTGCTAGATATCACCAAATTGGTAAGGCTAGAAGTCATTGTTCAAATCCAGGTTTAGCTAGCTCATTCACCTGTCAAGGACCCATATTCAGATGTTTAGGACTCATCATCAAAAAGGAATTAACGGCCAGGCATGGTGGTGCATGCCTGTAATCCTAGCACTCAAGAGGCTGAGGCAGGAGGATCATTGCGAGCTCCAGGCCAGACTGGGCTACAAAGTGAGTTCAAAGCCAGCCTGAACTGCATATTGAGATCCTGTCTCAAAAAGACAAAAAAAAAAAAGTATTGAGGTTAAAAGATGATCTGTTTTTTTTTCCACATTCATCACAAGCAACTAGGCGGGGTGGCCTATTGGTTTAGATCTGGCTGCAGGCCCATGGCACCGGTGGCCTTTGAGAAATTACTTCCTCCATCTTTGTCTTTCTGCAGCTGCAAAAGGAGGTAACAATGGTACCCCTTCCCGCCTTTCCAGTATAATCTTATTAACTGATACCCATGAGACTGGCTCACAAGAGCCCCAGATAGATTGGCTGTGGTTATTATGGTGATTGTTATTGCATTTAGTCACATGGACAGGACACAGTCCTGCAGAAATCTCCGCAGTAAAAGGTGAACCAGATTGTGAAACCAGTCACCAGACAACAAGGACAGGAGAAAGGCTGGGCTGGGAAGCACGCTGCCATACCTAATGTGCGTCCCCTTAGCAGAGAATCACGGGCATAGTGACAGCGGCCCGCCCTCCTCTGAAGGCCTCCAGGGAGCACAGCCACAGAAATAAAGGTGTGACTTGGGGGTCTGAGGACGTGGGCCCGTGTGAGTGAGACTGGGTAGGTCAGGGAGCACCCCTGTTTCCCAGGCCCCTCACCCGCCGCCACCACCTCACCTGCCTCAGCGCGTCTCCTAAGCCCTCCGGCTAGTTGCCAGGCAACTCCCCAGCGTCTGAGGCGTCCAGCTCTGCACACATGGAACCTACCGCGCAGGCGCGAACAGCCGGGACTGAGGCGGGTTGCAAAGTGGGAATAATAATATTTTACAGGGTTAGTATGGGAGAACAAAGGCTGCTCAGCTTTGTTCAAGGTACAAAAGAAAAGTGATTTCTTTGCCCCTTTCTGTGTACTGGGCATTTGCATGCCTTTGATCATGAGAGCAATGCTTATGCAGTTTAGAGATAAGAATCTCAAGAGGTTGGGTCTCTTCCTCCAAATTACATATACCTAGAACTGCCTAGCACTCGCCCACACTTCTCACTCTGCTAGTTGGCCACCTGCTAATGACAAAGATCAGCTCCTACAGTGGACCTAATACACTCCTGGTTAGTGCTTGTTCTAAAAAGCAAGACAGACCCCACCACCACCTGCTTAAAACACTCCCGTGGCTCCCTCCCCACTGAACTCAGGCCTGAGTCCCGACTGCTATCCTGAGGATGAATATGGGGGTGCTGTGGGGCCTGTGGTCCCAGCTACTTGGGAGGCTGTAGCAGAGGAATCACTTTAGCCCAGGGGTTCATCACCTGGGGAGCACCATGGTGAGACACACACACACACACACACACACACACACACACACACACTCCTAGCTTACACCCACGTCCTTAAAGGGATGGTTTCTTCCAGCCATGGTGGACTCACTCTTAATCCCTGAAATGGCCAGCTCTCTCCTGGAGCCTGAGCTGTCTGTAATTCTGATGACCTCTTGGTCCATCAGGAATCAACTTGGTGGACACTTTCCCTACAAAGTCGCCCTTCTCAAATGCAAGTTAATAAGGAATCTCATAGTTTAATTATACCATTGGCACACATCCCTCTCTCAAATCTCTAATTACTTTTTCCCCCTGGGTGCTGGGGATTGAACCCAGGGCCTGGGGTATGCTGGCCAACCATTCTACCACTGAGCCATCACCTCAGCCCTCTGTTTACTTCTAATACCCCAGCAAACTCTAGCTTCTCTGAGTGGAAGGGCTACGTCAGTTCTGTTTCCTTTCCTCTCCAGTGCCAGCAATACACCAGGAGGCTTTTGGCAAGTGTAAAACAAATGAATAGTTAATGGACTTGAGTAGAATTTTACAACCTAAAAGCTCTTATACCATCTCAAGTGATCCTCAGAAGAAACCTTTGAAGTAGTTGGGTCCATTTTATAGCTAGTAAGTAGACTGAGATGCAGAAAGTAGAGCATCTCACCTAAATTCACCTTCTAAGCCTGAGACCTTAGCAATAAATGCATTAATAAAGGCCTCAAACATCAGCCTCTAACACATTTAGCTTTGAATTGAAGAATGCTTAGATCTGTGTACCAAGAATCCAATATTGTCATGCTGACATCTGCCCTCTCTTGCTGTCTTTCAAAGGATCAAGTTCTAAAGGGTCTCTCCAACCTAGAGCATCCTAATTTTTTAAGGAAGTTGCTGTGAAGAGCACTGAACTTGGAGTCAAGAAATAGGGGTCTCAGCCAGGCATAGTGATGCAAAACTGTCGTCCTGGCACTGGGGAGGCTGAGGCAGGATGATTGCTGTGAGTCTGAGGCCAGCCTGGGCTACAAAGTGAGTTCAAGGCCAGCCGGAACTGCATAGTGAGACCCTGCCTCAAAAAAAAAAAGAGAAAGAGACAAAAATGGGTCTCAATTGTAGTTCTAACTCACTAGGCAAATCCCTTTGAGTGTGTCATACTTTCTTTGTTCAAAAAAAGCAGCGGGGTAGGGGGCGAAGGGCTGAGTCAAATTGGTTTTCAAAGCTGGGAACTCTGGACCTTTCTGAATCAGGTTATGAAAATAGGGGGCTCTGAGACCATCTAGACCCGTACATATTTCGCTTTCCAAAAAGCAACAAACTCATAGGCGCTCAGTGACTAGAGTTGGCATCAATTTTAACACCCATTAATCAAGGAAATTAATTTTGCAGCATGAGCTCTAGAAGCCAGGCATATGAATTTCAGGTAGCGTTGGATTCAGGTGTGAGACCGATGTGGTGAAGGAGGACTCCTGGGCCGGGTCTAAGCCGCGCCAGGCAAAAAGAAAAAATAATAATAATAATAAAAGTAGCACTGGACTCAGAATGACACTATAAGGTCAGTAAATGGTGGACACAAGGCACGTCCACCCCCTGCCCAGGCAGGGTCCTTGACTCTCACCAAATACCAATGCAACATTATTGTATTGCAATACAGCAACAGTTCTTATCCCGTGACTGCTACCACTCCTCCAGTCAGAGGTGATGGCCAGAGTGAGCAGCTCCGGAGAACCCCTACGGTCAGCCGCACTCAGACCCCCGCTCCAGAGCCAGCTCTATCCACTGGGCTCCCTGGTCTCGCCCACTGTCCTCTTATCAAGCGACATCCTCGTTGCCATGGTGATCTCCGGCGCTACTGCAGCGTCCGGAAGTCTCTCCGGGCCCAGACCCCTGGGACGCTCTCGTTGCTATGGTGATCCCTTGTACAAACTGCGAGCGGGACTCTTTCCAGAGTCAGTCCCGCCCACACCCCGCCCCCGGCGTCCGGGATTCGTCGAACGCCCTCGAATCCAGCGTGGCCCGTGTTGCCGTGGTGATCCCGCGTCGCTCTACCGTACTAGGCCGCGCGGAGCCCCGAGCCTTCGCAGGCGTGGTAAGTGCGTCCACCCGCCTTCTCTGTCCGACCCTCTGCCTGCGCCAGTGCAAGCACCATGCAGAGGCTGTAGCCACAGCGCCCCGTCCCCCGCCCAACTACTAGTGCCAGAACCTGAATGCGGCCTACAGCCCCAGATTTCCTCATTTCTTGAGCGCCCACCCCTTGCCAGGCCCGTGTAGGTCTGGGAAAATAGTCAGGCCCGGGGGAGAACAACAACGGGTCTTGGTCTGTCGAGTTGTTGGGGGAGGGGGAGCTGGACATGAAAGAGTACGGAGGGATGTTGAATAAGCTTGAGGAGTCAGACTGGATGAGGACAGCAGAAAAAGCCTGAAACCTAAAGCCCCCAGCCACTCAAAGCCATCATCCTTGACCGAGTTAAGCTCAGAGAGGGAGCCCCTCCTGCTTAGACACTTGCTTAGGAGAGAACCGGCTCTTCAGCAAACCCTCCCCACCATGCCACCTGCACACTGAAAGAGATGGCCTGAGTTCCTGTCTCCAGATGACCTCTCCCGGATGTTCCTGAGAAAGAGTGAGGCCAGATCTAGTTTTAAAGCTCAGGAAAAATTAGGCAGAAACTTAGAGCTGCACCTTTGGAGATTTGCACAGCTCTCTAATTCTCGTCAAAGGTAAAATAACAGTTAAGTTCACAAATCTTAATTGGCTTTATTTGTGGTTCTAGAATCAGGCAACAACACATCATTCTGTAAGATGCACTGAGTATTCTGATGAGCTGAGCAAAGAAGGTTGGTTATTTTTAAAATGATTTAATAGTTTTATTTTGAGTGTCTTTTTTTTTGGTGCTAGGAATTGAACTCAGGACCTCATGCTTGCCACAGGAGCTGCACCACTGAGCTAAATCACCTGCCAGAAGGTTGGTTTTATAAGTAGAAAAAGACTAGGGAAAGCAAAAACAGACTGAAAAGCAGATTGGTTGTTTCAAAGTTACTTATTAAGTTTCAAACAAAGGGGATTTCTTTATCATAATGGCTCATGTAAACTGGGTCCCTTTTGATTGAATGCTGTGAACCTCTTTGTTTCTTGTTTTGTTTTTTTAACTGGCCCAGTTCAGAGTCCAGTTTGATCATGTGACACCTAGCCTAAGTGATTCCATCTGGCTTGATCTGGTCTGTTGGGGCCTGTGCAGTAGGCTAATCCAAAACAGTGACCATCTCTAAATTGCACTTAGCATTCTCTTTTTTCTCCTTGGTTCCACAGGCCTCTGGAAGAATGAGATCCTCCTTGACACCTTTGGGGCCTCCTGTGAGCCGGGATCGCATCATTGACACCTTTCCTAAGGTAGAGTTACTAGGGTACCCTTTTTATTTGTACTGTTCTTCTGATTTTGAGATCATATCCCACTTTCCCAGCTTACTGTCACCCCCAGAAATAAGGCAGGTGAATTAGGTCTGTCTTCTTGAGAAGCTAGAAGACTGGGTCTTGACTTGTCCAAAGTAGGCCAGTGGTGAGACAAGGCGGCAGTGTGGCATGGAAGTTATAAGTCAGTTAGGTGATCCTACATGTGAATCCTGCTTCTGCTATGAAGTTTTATAAACAGTGGCAAGTTATGCACTCTCAGAACCTAAAGGATATTACCTTTCACATTGTCTTCCTAGCTGATTGGAAATGGGAGCTTCCTTGAAGTTGTGTGCCATTCCTGTTCTTATTAGTATTACTGTTATCAAAACAGCACTCCGGGAGCTAGGGGTGTATCTCAGTGATAGAGCCCTTGCATAGCATGTGCCAGGCCCTGGGTTTGATCCTAAACACCACAAAACATTTAAAAGTTAAACCCACAGTACTCCAACTTCTACACCCCAAATTAAGGGCCTTCTCCCCTTGCCATACTGCTGAAAAAAAAAAGTTCACAGCTCTCTTCTGTCTTTACTAAAATCCAATATTAACTGCATCAGGGAATGCAAATCAGTATGACCTCTCTTCACGGCCGTGGAACTATACTCACCAACATTGTCAATACCTCTGCCCCCTGATGCAGCCATTCCATTTCTAGAAATTGACTCTGCAGATACCCTGGCATGGGTGGAGAATGTGCACAAGGCCAGGTATCATAGCAGTTAGTAAGAGCAGATCAGACATGCCACTGTCCTCAGAGAGGGGGATGGTTGAAGAGGTAATGCTACTTCCTGACGTGGACAGAGGAAGAACGAAGTACCTCTTCAGGTGCCAGTGAGGGCCAAAGTAAATTGTGAGGTCAAATGCAAGGAGTGGAGATGTGTGTAGTCAAGTGTGTGTGGTACACTCTCCTGTGTGTAAAAGAGGTGAGCCGGGGTATAGCTCAGTAGTAGAGCGCATGCTTAGCATGCACACGAGTGTAGGCTTGATCCTCAGAACTGAAAAAAAGGAGAAGAAAAGAAATGTCTGTGTTGTTAGTACATACATAAAATATTTCTGAAGGTTACATAAGACCCTGTTGTCAGTAGATGCCTACAGTGGCTTAGGGCTGGCGTGTAGGGAGACCTGCCCACTGAATGTCTTTATGTCTTTTGGATTCTGTGCCCAGGTTGGGAAGGAGGAAGGAGGTAACTGTAGGCTCTGGGTGTTGTGGGTCTTCAGCCATTCCCTCTTACCCTACTGCTGAATTCCTTCTCTACACCTGCACAGGGAGGGTCTTGGTGCCTCAGACCTGTGAATAATTCCCCCGCATTTTCCATTACAACCCAACTCACAGCAGTGCCTTTCCTGTGGAGCTTGACAATGCTAACGAGGATGTTAGAGACTGGTATTTTATGAGCTGAAAGGTAGGGAAACACAATTGGCACAAAACAGTCCAGGTCTTACGGACAAAGGACTCCATTTACAGAGCAGGATAGCAAGGCTCAAAGAGATAGGGAAGATCGCTGATGTCACCTAGCCGGGCTTTGTGGAGCTAGGATTTGACCTGACTGAGTCTGGCTCTAGAGCTCCCTACCCCAGGGAGGCAGCCTGGGGATCCCTCCCGTTTTCACAGAAAGTGGGTTTCTGTCCCTCCTGTCTGCAGTCATCAGGGATCACGGGCCACTGCACCCCAGGGCCACACCACTCCAGACCTGAGGGATTCTCAGTCAGGTCAGGCTGAGTCCCCGTAGTACCTCCCAAGGCAAATCCTTCCCTTTACTTTGTGTGCCTCGGGTTCCGTGTCTCTGAAGTTGGCTCACACTATTTACCCTGTGGCCTGCAACGTGACAGGAAACAGAGAAAGCTAATAAGGCCGACAGCCTGGAGGCCTGGGAGAGAGGAGGGGCGGGAAGACTGGGAAGTAGATCACCACCATGGTTTCTGGCCTGGCCTGGCTGACAGGGCTGCAGCTTTGCAGGAGGGTATGCCTATGTGTCTGTCTATGTTCTGTCTCTTTGTAGTGGTACACGCCTGACGCCTCCCTGCAGCTTAAGGAGCACTTCCATGAGCGGGTCAATGCAGCTTGCCAGCGCAGGAACACCGGGACTGTTGGGTGAGCCTGTGGACCTGGGATACAGGGGAGAGAGAGAGTCAGAAGGAAGAAGCAAATGACTGTATGAATGAAAAGTGAACAAATGAAACACACAGACTAGGCAGGTGCAACCCAGCACGGGAGCTTTTGTCTGGCTCTACTTGACACACTCTGCCATGTGAACTTCTCCCCTTCTCAAAATGTCATGCACAGGACTCTGCAGCCTGAGGTCTCAGAGAAGGTCTGTTTCCTCTGTCTGGAACATCTTTTTTAACTCTTCTTCTTTGGGTCCCCATATGTCAGGTCCTCTGAAAGCCTTTTCTAACCCTGGCTGCCCCTGTCTCTCGCCTGAGCTGAGCAAGTGCCCTTCCTGTGTGCTCCCGAAGCCCAAAACTTATGTCACAGAATCACAGTTTTGATGTCTGGATCCCTTGTCAGGGTCAGGGCTGTCTGTTCTGTTTCTGCCTCAGCATTGCCTGTCACCACTGGCACAGGGATTTTGCAATAGTCCTTTCTTTTGTCAAACAGATACAAGGCCTCGCCTTGTCCTTCATCCTGCGGAGCTCACAGTCTGTTCAGGAGCCTGGCTTGGAGGTTCCCAAGGCCCACAAGGGAGGAGAGCTCCAGTCGGAATGCTCGCTCCAGCACTCATGCTCATGGGGTGAGAGTAGTAGCATCAGCTGGGGAGTGTGCTTCATACCAGGGCTTCACATAGATCATCTCCCTTGCCTCTTACAATAGCACTGGAGGTAGGGAAACTGAGGCACCAAGGTCCTCACCGTAAGACCCTGGCAATACCTTTACTCCACCTGACAAGTAGAGTTAGGGCCAAGCTGTTTCAGGAGGCATAGGCAGTCTGGGAACGTGGTACTCATAGCCACTGTCATCACAGATGTGTCGAGGTAACAGCACCAGGTGAGGCAGAGGGATCCACTTGTAGCTTGCATGCAGAGGAAGTGCCTGTCCTATTGCCCAAGTTTGTTGTTTCAATCATTGAGGTCCTTTGGAATGAGCTACAGAAATTATTTGTTCTTCCAGTACTGGGGATTGAACTCCAGAGACTACTAAACTATATCCCTAGCCTTTTTTTTTTTTAAATCTGAGACAAGGTCTCATTAAATTACCCAAGCTGGCCTTAAACTTGCAATCCTCCTGCCACAGCCTCCTGAGTGCTGGGATTACAGGTATGCACCATCCCTTTTCTTTTCTTTTTTTTTTTTGCTGCATGTTTGCAGTGCATAGTCTTTACATTCCTTGTGGGGAGTGGGCACGTGTACACAACGTACCTGAATACCTTTTTGCATTCCTTATCCCTCTCCTCCTCTTTGCCTCCATCCCTTGATACCCTTCCCCTATGACGAAGATCTATCTTCCTATTTCCTATTATCTACCTTTTATTTTACTCTTTTTTTTTTACTTTGAGTTTCTCATATAAGAGAAACCATGTGCTCTTTAAGCTTGTGTGTCTGATTTATTTCACTGAACATTATAGTCTCAAGGTGCATCCATTTTGCTACAAATAACTCAAGTTTATCTTTCTTTATGGCAGAGTAGTACTCTACCATGTGTAAATGCTATATTTTCTTTATCCATTCATGTGTTGATGGCCATAACATGCACCATCCCATTTTCCATATAGGCCACCTTTAAGATTTAGCTATTATAAATTGTGCTGCTAGAGTAGGTTCTGTCTTATATCTAGGATTGAAGGCAGATCACCACAGAGAGCTCAGAGAAGGAAAGGCCTGTGTCTGCTAAAAATGCTTTTGACACCATGCTTGAGGGTGACAGGGCCATATTTCTTCCAGGCTCAAACTCTCCAAGGTGGTTGTTGTTGGCGATCTCTATGTGGGGAAGACCAGCCTCATCCACAGGTATGCCCTGCTAGCTTCCTTCCATCAGTCAGGTCAGCCACACCTCCCTGCACCAGCGCCAGGTTGTCACACCTTCCTGGGAGATCTAGATAATATTGTCACGGTGGGGACCAGGTGGATGCTATGAAGTAGGCCACTGCCTCAGCCTGATGGGAGCCAGGTGGGAGAAGGGGCAAGAAATCAGGGAGATGGTGGGGTTGACAGATAGTAGGGCATCCCAGGAGACTGGCACTCATCATACTGTCCTCCCGGGGGCCTAAGCTGGCCCCTTCACTGGCCTCTCTGGGAACAGACTCTTACCGTGGAAAGGGGTCCCGGGGAGGCAAACTTAGTGTTTGCCTTCCAGGCTGTCATGGTCCATCTTCCCTCATTACCTTACTGGCTTTCCTGTTGCTGTCGTTTAGATAGGCGTCCCCCAAAGTTCATGTGTGAAAGGTTTGGTCCCTCGTGATGGCACTATTGGGAGGTGGTAGACCCTTTAAATGGTAGGACCTGGTAAGAGGTCTTTAGGTCATTGAGAGCATGCCCTTGAAAGGGGCAGTGGTGCTCTGGCCCCTTCTTCTTCCTCTTTTTTGCTTTATGGTCATGAGGTGCATGGTCTTATTCTGCTACATGCCACCGCCATCTTGGGCTGCCTCACCACAGGCCCAAAGCAGTGGAGCTAATCAGTCATGGACTGAACTCTCTAAAACTGTGAGCCCCCAAATCCTTTTCTCTTTATAAGTTGATTATCTCAGGTGTTTGTCACAGTGAAAGAATGCTAACTGACATACCTGGCTACCCATGGCCTCTGTGAACCAGCCTTCCTTATCAATTCTCTATTGATAGTGGATTTTATTGGCCTCCACACTTTCACTGTGGAGCAAACCTTCCGTGGCTGTTTTTGTGAGGACACCTCTCTGATGACGTTCTTATCTCCCACAGGTTTTGCAAGAATGTTTTTGATCGGGACTACAAGGCCACTATTGGGGTAGACTTCGAAATTGAGCGCTTTGAGATTACTGGGATTCCATACAGCCTCCAGATGTAAGTTCCCATTGTGTGGTGTCACTTCCCATACGGCTTACGGGTGGGCTTCCTGGAGACCCCGAGGGAAGGTCTTGGACAGCCCCTCTTCCACTCAGCAAGGACCTTTCTAGACAAGCAGGGTCTGGGCTGGTTGTGAGAAACCAGGCTTCATGGCTGTCAAGTTTCCTGGATGCTACTTGGTCTTGACAGGTCAGGGTAAGGTCTTCACACCCATCCATGATGGCACCCGACTGCTCCCTACCTGCACCTCCTGTGATCCTATAGGAGGCAGGTGGACTTTGGCAAGTCATTAGCTCTGAGCCTCTGTTCCCAGCTGTGAAGTGGGACTGCATTAGTCCTGTGTGCTAGGCTTGGGTGAGGAGGGTTTTGTCAGAGGCTGTGCCATCCACCTCCTTTCCTGATGTGCTCATGTTCACCCCACACCTTTCCCCTCAATAGGGAAGTAACACCCACTCCCCCTACTGTTCTTTCTTTCCACCTCTGTCTTCTGGTTCTCTTTGCTTTCTTCCTCACTGGCTTCATTCTTCAATAGTTCACGCTCTGCTTACGCTGAGTCTGCAGTGCAGTTCTGGAGCCAGATGATACCACATCTTTTCCAAGAGTGAGGATAAGGTCAGTCCAGAGCGAAGGAGGCTGGGACGAAGGGATCTGGAAGGCTGGGAAAGGCAGAAAGCCAGGGGAACAGTCCAGGTGGAGAGGGAGGCAGTGGCCAGTGCCTGGGCTTTCACTGTGGCTGCAGACTGTATCTGATTGTAGAGAGACCAGGACAAAACAGGGACACTGTTCTGCCTCAGTCCCTGTGTCTCAGATCGAGGTCCTTGCTATCCACCCAGCTGGTCTCCTCTCCAGGCCCGCCCCCAGCTCTCCACCCGGAGTATTCTTTTGAGAGCAAAGAAAATATGAGTGCATCAGTTAAGGGACATAAGCAGAAAAGTCTGCATCACACCAGATCATTTGAAAAAAACTCAGACCATTGATGTCATATTCATAGTTTGTCTTCTATTCAGTTTACTGAGAAAAGTTAAATTTTAACCTGTGGACTTGAAGGATGGATTAGGGATTGGATTTCAGACTCATCCGTCCATACTGACCACCTGCCTAGTTATAAGCCAGAGCAAACAGACCTCAGCATGTGCGCCATCCCATTTTCTATACTGTGGCTATGGCAAACAGCATTAATCTATTGTTGCATTCTTTTCCGTGGAGCCAGGCCTCAGCTTCTAAGTCCTTCTTGATGTGTTGCTCCAGAGAGCCAGAGCTAATGAGAGTCACCCAGGGGATATAAACCATGTGCTCAGGAGGCATCCCCACCCTTCACCCAGGAAGCTACAGTGCAGCAGGGGAAACAGTCTCCCAGTCACACATGAGCAAGTGGTAGAACCACAGCCCAGAGCCCTAGTACCATTCAGAAGGAGCAGGCCACACCAGAGAGCATACGTTCCTTTTTAATGTCATAGTCAGAAGGGACCGAGCTGCGACTCCATTCATCTGGCAGCAGAACTGCTAATGCTATGCTCCCTCACCCGTAGGCCCTGTGAATCCAGCAAGAGAATTCCCCCTGGGGGACCCCAGAGGGATCACCCGGAGCTGGAGGCAGGTATAGCTGGCTCACACAAGCACTTCCTGGAGCCCACACAGGGTGCTTGCACAGCTGGTGCTTGTCTTTGAGTCTCCCTGCCATGGTCTTGCTAGCCTATTGACTCAGAATACTGTGATTGCTTAACCTACCACCACTGTTTTCCTTTCATCCATTTCATGGCTCAGCTGGGACACAGCCGGGCAGGAGAAGTTCAAGTGCATTGCATCTGCCTATTACCGGGGTGCCCAGGGTAAGCAACTATGCGACGGTGGGATGTGCAGCGGGGGCCTCCCCACTGGAAGCCCAGGTCTTCTACACAAGTGCCAGTTTTCTGTCCTCCAGGAACCACTGAGAAATCACTCTAGCGAGTACTTGGGAATGGAACAGCTGCCTCCAAGCCGGGTCCTTGCCTAGCTTTGGCAGTCATGCCCTTTTGGAGTCTGTTGTGGTGGGTTCTGGCTGTACCTCTGAGCCCCAGCTTTCATATCAGGAAGATTCTGAGAGAAGGATGTGTTTGTCCAGGGGTTCTGGGAAAGAAGGACAGCATCACATTCCAAGAGGAGGTGGGCAGAAGCTTGTCCTATCTTAGGAGGAGGAAGCTAAGCCAGCGAGAAGGAATGAAGGCGGACCCTGGCAGGACTGGCAGGTCCCAGATGGGGGTCCACAGGGCTCAGTGCCCACTACCAACATGGCCAAGTGCAGCCTAGGTCCTGGGCAGGTCTCATAGCAGAGGTGGCAGCATATGCTCACCACTGACACCAGCCTCCCAGGAAGCAGACAGAAATGCATTTCAGTGGGATGTGGGAGAACTGTCAAAAGGATCTCAAACCAGACTCAAGGCACTGTTATGTCTACTCAGTAGTAGTGTAAGAATCACAGCAAGTTTCATTCAGATTTGAAAGGAACAAAAACAGGTTCTAACCCGTGAGTACCTCAGCTGGGGACTGGAACTTCAGCTGAGCCACATCCACTATGGCTTCCTGCAGCTTTTGGGTCTCCAGGCCTCTCTCTTCCCAAAGAGATTCCACCTCCCCAGGAGGTGCCTGGTGCCTGCAAGGCACACCTCTGCAAACAGCAGGCAGACTGCTACTGCCCCATGTTATCAGTGACCTTTTCTCTGTTCCCCTCTATCCTGAGAGCATCAGGACTATCCTGCAGTCATTAGCCACGGGGTAGAGGAAGCCACTGTCCAGTCTGCTCACATCCGCAGGCATCAGTAGAGGACACCATGGCTACAGGGCAGGGCCAGTGGCAAGAGCTGCTGACAGCAAGGCCACAGCTCTGTTCTCTGACCATCTGGAAGTCATTTTCCTTAATCCAGTTGTTGCTGATTGTCATCACAGCCATAGCTGCTGTTGATTGAAAGTCTTGCCAGGTGTGGCTGTGCATACACCTATAATCCCAGCACTCTGGGAGGCTGAGGCAAGAGAATCACAAGTTCCAGCCTAGTCTGGGGAATTTAGCAAACTCAGAGCAACATTGTCTTCAATAAAAAATAATAGGGCCAGGGATGTAACTCAGTGTGTAACTGGGTTCAATCCCCAGTACCTCAAAAGTTAATTAATTTTAAAAATATGCCCTGGGTCAGGCCTTGGACTAAAAGTGTTTCAAAATAGTTGCCTTAAAAACAAACAAATAAAAAAACCCAGCTGCCTTTGTTTATCCTCCCAGCAACCCTGAGAGCTAGGTATATCATTCTCATCATTTTACAGATGGGCAAACTGAGGCTCTCTGCACTTACGACCCTCTCCCAAGCTCCCTTGGCTGTAATGGCAGAGTCTCTGATGCCAGAGTCCACATGCCCCTTGCTTGCCTCTTCTATCCTCCCTGGATTCCACTCTTGGGCTGGGCTGTAGGGTCCAGAGTTGAGTGCCAGGGACCACCTGGAAGTTCCTCAAAACCTGAGGAGGTGCTGGAGGGGGAGCTCTCCTTTGTCACACTGTGTGGGCCCCACCTGTCACTGACTGACTGGTGGCTTTCTTCTGTGTGTCCAGTGATCATCACAGCCTTTGACCTCACTGATGTGCAGACTCTGGGGCACACCAGGTAAGTAACCCCAGACTCTGTGACCCCTTTGGGGCACTTGGGTTCAGGAAGCTGTCTGAAAAGTCTGCAGACCCAGGCCACTAGGCTAACTCCCTTATGGTGGCTTCAGGCTCATGTGTTAAGATCAGTTGCCCATAAGCTATTTATTGTCCCGTTGCCTCCTTATCCCTCAAGGGGGCGTTTGCACCAGGCTAGTGCCCTGAAGGAGCTGTGCTTATTTTGATAATCCTGCTGTTACCACCTTGGAAGTCTTCATAATTTTTGAATGAAAGACCCCCTATGTTCACTTTGCCCTGGGCTCTGATAATTTTATAGCCAGTCCTGTCTGAAGGGACATGACTCTGGCCCTTGCTGTCTTGGGCAGTGATGTGAACAATGTGACCAATTCCAAGAGACCATCCTGCTTCTGTCAAGAATCTAATGGACAAAAGACCTCCTCACCCCCTCACCCTGCATTTACTTGGGGCATTCACATCCAGTTTCCTCCAAACCCTGCAAAGGATGCAGGGGTGATTGTTCCAGGTGACAAAGGCTCAAAGGATGAGGATGGGTCTTCATGACCTGACTGATGCTTTTGTATTCCCAGCCCCATTTGGTCCCACTAAGGCCGTTCTGGTTGCAAGGCCAGCATCCCACTTAGTCACTGTGGGCCAGGGGCCTCCCTCTGCCTCCCAGCCCAGTGCTTCCAGCCCTGGGAAGGGCTTGAGTCTCTATCCCATCCCCTGGGCTTCCTCAAGCCCCCTAGGTGGGTGGGTACAGACATCCCTCAGGCTGTTTCCTCTCTGCACATTACAGGCAGTGGCTGGAGGACGCACTAAGGGAGAACGAGGTGGGATCCTGCTCTATCTTCCTCGTGGGAACCAAAAAGGACCTTCTGGTGAGCGGGCAGAGCTGGAAGCCTGGGTGCCTCTTGGGAAAATGCCTGTGCTCGCAGCGTGTGGCACTGACATGCCTGGGATTAGCATTCAAAGACCCAGGCCTTGGAGCTGCAAAGCAGGGGAACTCAAGTTCCCCCTGCTGTCTCCTAAGAACAAGACTGCTGACACTCAGATTTGCCTGAGGACCACTGAAGTGTCACCCGTAGGCATGCAGCATCGCTGCACTGGGACTGACCTGTCTGCCCCAGGGGGGAAATGGGAGCAAGGGTGGGAAGGGAAGTGCCGTGGTAAGAAGGGCACAGCTGCGACCCCAGGGGCCACCTGGAGGAGAGCTGGGCACTGGGTCAGCAGGGCTGCTTCTCCCAGTCAGGGGCGGCATGTGAGCAGGCTGAAGCAGAGGCTGTGCACCTGGCCAATGAGATGCAGGCTGAGTACTGGTCAGTGTCCGCCAAGACTGGTGAGTGGGGAAGAGGTGTACCAAGGTGGGGGGCAGAGGCTGCTGTGTGGGGCCCAACGTGCTGTGGAGGTTCTTGCCTTTCCTTATGTGTGCTGGTTCACAATTTGGCCATGCTGGGAACCGGCAGCACCTTCCATTGCTTTACAGTGGTCTCCTCTAGGACACCAGGAGGCCTGTCCCGTGGATAAGAGGAATAGTGACCTCTGGCCCTTGCCAGTCCTAGGCAAGATGCCCAGCAGGTCCAAGCCTCGTCTGGGAAGCAGGGTGATATCTCTCTCTCTCTCTCTCTCTCTCTCTCTCTCTCTCTCTCTCTCCTTTTCTCTCCAGTCCATTTGACTTCATAGTAGGGTTTCCTGGGTTGTCCACACTGACCTTGAACCTGCAGTTCTCCTGCCTCAGCCTCCCAAGTAGCTAGGATTAACGGGTATGTGCTACTGCACCCAATTCATTTTTAGTGAGAACATGCTTTTTATTATAAAGGCTATATATATTTACTGAGGAAAAATTAGAAAGTGCAGAAAAGCAAAGAGCAGACTTTGCACGCACAGATGTTATGTGCGTGTGCCAACTCCCCACGATGAATGTAATCCTGTGCTGTAAACGTGGACTCATAAAAAGATAATAAAGGAAAGAGTGTGCAGTGCCTAGCACATAGTGGGCCCCAGAGGTGCAGGGCACTCGGGGCTGGGCCCAGTGTCCCTGGCCCTGGGCAAGCAGGCACAGCAGGCACTTGGCCAGGGACACTGAGTGAGAGCTGAGTGTAGAAGTGCCACCTCCCCACTGCAACAAACACCCGGCAGTTTTCATGTCTGGTGCTCTCTGCTGCTCCTTCCCATCGGCTTCCCTCCTGCCCTGTGAGGACCCATCATCCTCCTTGACTGGAGTAACGGGGTTCACTGATATCTCAGTACAGCCAAGTGGGACACAGTGCAGGCTGTGTTTGTGCTGGATGTGGGAACCTGGCCTCCTCCCTGTTAGCTGGAGGAGGATGCTCAGACTCCATGTAAGGGCCAAACCGCACATAGAAAGTTGTAGGAAAGCAGGCACATGTCTGTCCTGAGCTCTGCCTGGCCCAGCACTGGCCCATAGTACAGAAGACGTTCAGGAGCAACTGAGTGGAAGAGTAGATTTAAAGGCTCAGAGGGCCGCGGGAGTGGCCAAGTCAGGCAGCCAGAGTGCGGGTGGGGCTGAAGCCAGGTGGGAAATGAAAGGTCCTACCCCCCAGCACCATGCTGCCCCTGTGGGTGGGTAGCCCTATGTGTTGCTGTTACTGTCAAGAATGCTCTAGAAGGAGCCACACTCCTGTCTGAGGGTGGGCTGCCCTGGTTCTGGCACCCAAATGTGTCTAGAGGTGCAGCTGGGGTCACACCTGTCCCGTGGGTCCCCAGGAGAGAATGTGAAGGCCTTCTTCAGCCGTGTTGCAGCCCTGGCGTTTGAGCAGTCAGTATTGCAGGAGCTGGAGAAGAGGAACAGCACCCGGCCCCAGGTCGGCGATGGAGACCTCATCCGTGCGTACGGGCATGGCTGCATGGGCTGGGGAAAGCCTGGAGAGCAGAATCTACATGTTCCATCCTCCCATCACCCCAGCCCCTGCCATATCCTTAACTCATTGCCCTCTTTGGACCCTCTTCAGTGGGCTGTGCAGGCCTATAGCCTCCCTGACTCCACCTGCCAGCTCATGCACCTTCCTTGGCCCTCCCTGTCCTCCACAAGAACCTCCTCATGGCCCAGGCTGGGGATCCCAGGCTCTGCAGAAAGACCTGGCTCTGGCCCTGCGAGCCTGGCATTTTGTCCGCTGTATTCTACCCTACAGAATATCCTCTGGGCCTCTCATCCTGTGCCTGGTTATCCAGCCCTCATATGATAGGCCTGGGAGCTCAAGCTCAGGGCTGTGCCTGTCAGGATAGGGGTGGGCCCTGACCAGTGTCAGCTGCAGGATGCTTGACTGATGCCAACTTTTCTTCTCCTTACAGGAATGGAGGGAAATTCGCCCGAGACTCAGGAGAGCAAGAGGCCCTTTAGCCTAGGCTGCTGTTAGCTGGGCTGGCACAAAGGTCCCCCACTCCCTGCACATGCATGGGCATGGGCTTCTGTGACTGAGGAGGGGTGACATGGAGCCTGTCTCCCTCAAGGTGTGGAGTGCCTGTGTACCCAGGGCTCAGCTACATTTCTTTAGCAGGGAACTGCTGGATGCTGGTCCACCCTACAATGCCTGCTTGGGGCCCCACACAGCCTGGCTAGTGGGACACTGCAGTGATGACACACCTGCAGGGTCATCATTCAGTCACCCACGGCCTTGAGAGGCCTCAGGACTGCAAACTCAGGACACTCCTGCAGTGGCCCACATCCCTCACCATGGCAGTTTCCCGGAAATCCTAGATGTGGCTTTGGAACCCTTCTCATCACAACATTCTGGGCACCCGGGACTTGTCAGAGTGGGCCTGTGAGGGAAAGCCCACATGCTGTCCCCTGGGGGAGTTTTCTGTTATCAATAGGACATGCAGTTCTGGGCCTTAGAGCTTGAGACCTCGTGTCCACTGCCCCTCTGTCACAGAGTCCCAGGTCCCCTGGGCAGCCCTGCCTCTCTCAAGGGCAATGGACAAGAAGGTCTCTTAGTCCCCCCTGACCAGGGGGCCCTCCCTGCCATGTCTGAGATCCCCATGGTCTTGCCCTCCAGATCAGTGTGTAAGGAAGGACTGAACAAGGCATTTGTGCTTCTGACCCATCTGGAGGATGCATTTTCCTGGCCGTGCTGTGAATGAGGATTGCACGCCCGCCCCTTGGGTGAATCACTATACATCCACCTATCTTGGCACTGCCCTGTGACTCATACCAGTGTGCACTGTTGCGTTTCCGACCTCTGTCCCACTGGCTTGCATATCTCTCAGGGCTTGTGTAATGGTGTCCACACATCTTTGGAGGACTTCGGAGACTGTTCAGAGTCTAGCATGTTCCTGATCAGCATTCTTCCTGCACAGGCAGTGCAGACAAGAATGTTCTCCCCACCCAGCTCTCTGCCCAGAGCGTCTGCTCTCCTCTCTGTCCCTGTGTTGCTCCTCCAGAGGTCTTCCCTGACACCTTTTCACTGCTGTTCACTGCCCCGTGCTACTGTGGCCCTGGGCATCTGCCCACTCATTCTCACCCTCTTGCCATAGGTACATCTGGCATCCCTATCTGCTTCTCAGAGATGGTGAGGATTTTTTGGGCAGCCTATGCCAGTCAGCACCCTTCTCCTAGTCCCTGGCACACTGGTTGTGCCCCATGGATATTCAGTGAATCATAGCAGTTGCCAAGTATCAGACAAGAACCCTAGCATGTTTTTCTGTTCATTATTCCTTTGCTGTATTTTAAGCCCACATGTATCACTTCTGTGTATAAATTTCTTTTAAAGGAATTGTGTGCTTAGTATAAAACAAGATAGTACAAGGCATATAAAATACAGATGGGAAATACCACCTCTGATTGGCCACATGTGCTCGCTTCAGCAGCACATATACTATAATCTGATTGGCCGCATGCCAAACATAAGGATGGTTAATAGTTGGTACGGTTCCTTCTGGGCCATGTTTCCCTGTGTGCAAACCACCACATTTGTCCGCTTATTTCCCTAGAGTGACCTTGTGTTGTACATGCTGCCTGAGAGGCTACCTTCCCCACGGACCATCTGAGCTTTCTTACTGTGGATGCGCACAGCCCCCCCTTTCCTTTAGCAGCTTTCCTTGGTGTAGACAGACTGTATTTCACTTAACCTGCCCCATAAACTGGTCATTTAGTTTGTGTCCAGCAATTAGCTTTTACTGACGGTGCTGCAGTGGCCTTCCTTGTAATTATAATGCACACTCAGGATTCCCAAAGGAGATCCTCCTGGCCTGGTCCACTGTGGAGGAGAGGGCACGGTGGGGTGCATTAGGGAGGACCAAGTTTGTTGGATGCAAACAGAATAAGAGTGACCAGCAAAGATGGGCCAGAATGGTGGCGGTGAGGGGAATATGGTGTCCTGCTGTTACCAGCTCCTAAGCTGGAAACCCAGTGTCTCATGTACACTTGAACTTCTGTAAATGGTCCTTTATTAAACTCTCATATTGCCCACTGTGGTGTCCCAGCTGGTTCCTGCAGGCCCTGTCCGACAGTAATGATCTCTCCAGTTTCAGCATTTGACCCAGAAGGATGGGAGACTGCACCAGGGAAAAGCAAGATGTTCAGTGTTTCCCAGTCGGTTAACACGCTGTTGTCTTAGTGTATTTGTGCTGCTACAACTGAAAACCACAGACCAGCTAAATTAGGAACAAACAAGTTTTATTTAGCTCGTGGTTCTGGCGGCTTAGAAGTCCAAGAAGCTAGTATCATCTGGTGAGGGCCTTCGTGCCACATCGTATCATAGTAGGTGCACCAGAGTAAGGTGAAGAGGGGGCTTGAACATAACCTTTGTAACAAACCCACTGTTGTGATAAATCACATTAATGCATTCGTGAGGTCTGAACACCTCTTAGGAGGCTACACCTTCCAACTTTTGCATTGGGGATTAAGTTTCAACATGTGTTTTGGAGGGGGACATTCAAACTATATCAACCAGGCATGGTGGTGCACTGCTGGAATCCCAGCACTTGAGAGCCTGAGACAGGAAGATCGTTGCGAGTTTGAGGCCAGCCTGGGTTACAAAGTAAGTTTAAGGCCAGCCTGAACTGCACAGTGAGACCCTGTCTCAAAAAGACAAGAAAAGCTATGTCAAACAGGTCAGGGGGATAGTTCAGTGGCAGAGTGCCTGCCTGGCATGTTGTGAGCCCCATGTTTGATCCCCAGCACTGAAGGGGAAAAAAACAGCAAGCATCATCTCAGAATCACTGCAGTGTAGTTCTCACCCCTTAAAGACTACTTCAACCATCTCAACATTCCACAGCAAATTTCTGGGGCAGAGAATCTGTGGGTCTTGTCCTGCAGGTCCAGGCAAAGCAGCCCCTGCACCAAGGTACAGCAAATAACTACATCCAAGTTCTTCGAAGCATCTTTTCCCTCTTCCCTGGTTTCTTTAGCTCCTCCTTTGCTCATCTATCTGTGCATCCTTCTATTTTTCTATCTCTTCTGCTGGAGACACCTTCCTGTGCCTATCTTACAGATGAGGAAACCCACAGCCAAAAGGATGAGACGTGTCTGACACCCCCACATTCGTGGCCCCTCCTCTGCCTCTACCTCTGCCCCTAGGTTAGCTTGGAATCACACCCTGGAGCTCTGTGTCTCTTACACCTGTGTGCCCCAGTCGTGTGTTCCCATCCAGGGACATCCAGGATTGCCACTTAGGGATTTCTATCCTCAGAACTGCAAATAAATAAATAAAAATTGCAAAATAAAATGGACCAGGATGTATTTGCATTGGCTCAACCACACCCTCTTCAGGATCCACCAGCCAGCCAAGCCTCCCCCCATCGTAGACTGCTCCCTGTGCCCCTTCACTGCCAGGCTGTGCTCCCCCAGCCCCACAGGCTCTACAGTGATCCGAGCAGGGTCCTCACTCTCCACCTTTCTGTCTTATATCTGGGGTGCAGGCCCACTCTGTCCTCCTCCCAGCTCAGCTGTGGGCCTCTGGAGTGGAGGGATCTTTCCAGCTCACAGTTTAGCCTGGGGCATGGGTGAGATCTACTAGATAAACCTCACTCTCCAGGAAGGCCCAGGGTTGCTTTACCAGGAAACCTGAGATCACCTATCACTGGGTAACTGAATATAGAGGTAGACTGGTTAAATTCACTCACCAATTGGTCTCCATTCACTCACCAATCCTTCCTCATTCATGAGTTCTAGAGCCCCCTTTCTAGGCTGGTCTCTGCATTTTTTCATTTACTCCTCCTACAGCCTACACATAAGGTGTTATATTTCACAGGTGAGCAAAGGATCAGGAAAGGAACCTCTAGGGCCACACAGATGCAAACTGGGATGAGGAGACAGTTCTGTCCAACACTCACAGTTCTGCGCCACCCCCCTACACAGATCTGAGGGAGATCATATCAAGGATATGGAGCAGAAGGTATGGTGTATGCCTATAATCCTACCACTGTGTAGGCAAAAGCAGGAATATCAAAGTTTAAGCCCAGCCTAGGCACTTTAGTGAGTTAATGAGACCCTGTCTCAAAAGAAAAATTTTTAAAGTGCTGAGGATGTAGTAACTCAGTGTAAAAGCCCTGAGTTCAATCTTCAGTACTGAAATAAATAAATAAATAAATAAAAATAAAAATGGACCAGGATGTAGTCCAGTGCAAAGGTCCTGCATCCAATCTGTAGTATCACCAGAGGGAGACACAAAAACAGAGACAGAGACAGAGACAGAGAATGGTAACAGAGGTTCAGGGCATGGGAGGGCAGATTTTCAGAAGAAACATGTAGCTCTGAGAGCAGTCCGTTCTCTTCTGGGCAAGGTGTGAGTCTGGGCCCCATCCAAGAAGCCCATGGCTTCAGGCAGTTCCCTGAGATAACCCCCCCACACTACTTCTGGCAGCTCCCAGGCTCCTCTGCCATCTGCTGTGGTCTCCCCATATCACCTTCCATATGTCTGGCCTTCCCCTGAGGGAAGGTGATGGGCAGATGGGAAGTGTGGCTGTCACACTGCCTCCTTCCCGGCAACAAAGATCCTTCCCAGCCTCCTCCCCCTCATGCAGATGCCTCCCCAGCATTCAGGGCCACCAGCCACCTGTCTGAGCCTGTGTCCCAGGTGGGTGCAGAGCTTCTGCCTCTGGGCTGCTGTGGGCAAGCCTTTCATTCAGCTTGCTCACCCCCAGCCTTCTAGAACACATGGTGGGTGGGCTGGGAGGCAAAGCAGGCCTGAGGCTCCTTCCCCTACATGTGGGGGGCAGCCCTGGCCTGAGGGTGCTCTGCCCCTCTCACCACTGGAAGCGGGAACCTGGACCATCTCACTGGCTATACTTTAAAAACAAGCTCAGCTCAGCTCAGCTCAGCTCCTCCTCTCCCTGCAAAGGCTAGAAACAGCACTTAGGAGACTCCACTGGGATCATATTTGCTGTAGGGCCATATTAATCAATAAATGATTCTGCAGAAGTAGAATCATTATACATAGGCAGTAGGAGCCTATAAGCCCCAGGCCTCAGGCTTGGGAGCAGGGACCCATTCTCTTAGTCATTCAGAACTGCTGCAGCTCCACCAAAGGTTCACCTCTCACCAGTGAGGATGTCTTACAGATGGACCAGGGGTCAGCAAGCCTGGAGGAGTTGCCCCAGCCAGGGATCGTCCAGCACAGTGCAAACGGACAGCGCTGGAGAACAGCTACATGGATGACCTGTTTTCTGATCTTGCCCCTGGCTCCCCGGACTGACAGATGACAGATGATAAATGACAGATGATGGATTGGGGGCGGAGTTCACATGGTCACATCTGCTTGAAACATGCTCCCTCCAGCCTCCAGCTTGGATGGAAATGAGGGTACAGATAGGACAGGGAAGGAACAAGAAAAGGCCTTTTCCAGTCAGCCTTACGTAGGTCTTAGGGCAAAAGCCTGCCAACATTGTAATGCTCCATCTGATCATCTGCCTGATGGCACGCTGGTGAAGAACACTGATTTGGGACATAGGCAGAGTAGGCATCCCACTTATTGCTGTGTGATGGGGAGGGGTCACCCCTCTCTGAGCCCCCTTCCCTGACCCTCACTGGAATAACATCTGTGAGGGTGGAAATAATTTATCTCTGTGGCCCAGACTGAGAACCCGTCAAAGGCTGAGTGCATGGGAGCCCTGAAGACCATGAGACTCTCACAGGCAGGGCCATGACTCTCACCCACATGGCACTTTTGGGTGAATTAGGAAAAAAAAAAACACCTGTGCAGTTCTTCAAAAAGTAAGATATGGGACTTGCCCTATGGACTCGGAAACTCCATTCCTAGATATGTCCCTCAGAGAACTGAAAATGGACTCAAACAAATATATCAGCTTAGTCTAGTCCATTTGGGCTGCTATAACAAACTACCATAGTCTGGCTGGTTTATAAACAACAAGAGTTTCTTTCTTTTCTTTTTTCTCTGCATCTCACCACCACCATCCAGTGCTATAGCATTAAACCCAGGGCCTCATTCAACTAGGAAAATGCTACATCACTGAATCACATCCCCTAGCCTAGAAGTTTCTCATAGTTCTGGAGACTGGAGGTCTAAGACCAGGGTGCCAGCATCATCAGGCTCTGGTGAGGATCCTTTCCCAGGTTGATATTGCTGACTTCTCATTCTATCCTCCCACGATGGAAAGGAAGCAAAAGAGCCCTGTGGGGTTCTCTTTAGCAGGATACTAACCTCCTCCCACAAGGGTTCCATCCTCACCACCTAATCACCTTCTAGGCCTTACCTCCCAGCGCCATCACCTTGGGGGATAGAATTTCAACATGTGGATTTCAAGGGAGGCCTGGGGGTGTAGCTCAGTGGTAGAAACCGCTATAGATCCCCTGCTGACGCCCCTCTGCTTGCTGAATACCCTAGAAATGCTCAAGCCTCCAGATGAACACTCAGTCCCCTCTTCTATGCCGGCTTCAAGGCAGTGGCAGATTGAGCCAGTGTCCTTCCACCAGAGGGCACAGCGGCTATCAGCACAGGAACTCTGCCTTCCTCACCAAGTCTACCCCACCAGATTCACAGGTCCCTGTCCCCTGGGCAGTCCCTTTTCAGTCTCCTCTACTCTCCTAGTGCAGCCCCTGGGGACAGAAGAGTCTCCAGCCCTGTGGCTATAAACACCAGCAGTTCACCTACAACACTCCAGTTTCTGCCTGTGGTCTTGAATGTTCCTTGGTGCTGCAGACTCACCCTCTGTCCATCTGACTCCCCTGTGGGTGGCCCATGGGCTCCTGAAGCCTCACGCAGGCAGCTGTGCTTGCCTGTTGCAGAAGCATCCCACTCTTAGCCCCATGGCTGGTCTTTCTCCATTCCCCACACTAAACCCACCTGCGAGTCCTATGAGCTCTATTGCCAGAATGGTCCCGGACTGTAATCCTTTCTCTTAGTCACCTTGCTTCTACCATAGTCCTGATCACCAGCATCCCCCTCCTGGACAATTGCCACAGACCTGGTCTGCTTACCCTGAGCCCACCTCCCACCTCCCTAACTGTCCACCCAACAAATCCGAGCAAGTCACACTGGGTGGTATAATATGGCAGCCACTGTGGCTATTTCATTCTAAATTCATTAAAGTTAAACTAAAAACTTGATTCTTTCCTAGACAAAGCCACATCTTAGGTGCTTAGTAATCACATAAGGAAGCTAATGTCTGCTGTATTGTTCATGCAGATTATAGAACATGCCCCTTGTGGGGAACAGTTCTATCGGACAGTGAGGCTTATAATCTCTTAGTGGCTTCTACTTGCATTTAGAGTGAAACCTAAACTCCTTACAGGCCTGGAAGGCCCTGCCTCACCTCCGATCTCACCTCCTACTGCCCACACCAGCCTCATCTTCTAACCTGGCTGTTCCTCAAACACACCAACAACTGAAGTCTCCTTGTCTTTGCCTAGCTGTTCCTTGCCCATAGCACCAGCCCACAAGTCACCTGCTCAGGGAAGCCTTCCCCAGACCTCTGCTCCTTCTGGGTTCCTCGAGGGCACACGCATCTCTGTTCTGGCCCAGCACTGGCAGCTTGTCACTTACACACGTGCGTCCCTCCCTGGGGTGGGCCTCCACTGGCCACACACACATGCTGAGCACTTAGGGACACGGGAAAATAAAACAAATGGACTACATCTTTGCAGAGTTTAGATCTAGCTAATGGCCCCAGAGGCCATTTGGGACAGATACCAAATAAAGAGTTACAGATACAGTGTATCTTCTCACTCCTTCCCCCTTGGGAGGGACTGATGGTAAGAAAGCTCTGCAAGGGAGGAAAGAAAGGAGCAAGCTAGCTAGCAAGATCTGGAGAAAAAGACTATAGACGCCCAGGCCGGGAGCACTTTCAGGGAAGTCCCAAAGATGGAACATCCTGGGGGCCAGAAGAGGACCAGTGAGAGAAAGCCACTATTTGGATGTGTAGCTTATACCCAATAAACCATGCCTAGAGACTATTCTGTATTCCTAGAGAATGGAGCCTGCAAATCCAAACTAAACAGTTCAGAGTTTATGAAGTGAATTTCCTTGTGCATAACATATTAAAAGCCAGGCAATGGCTAAAGCCCTTGCTATTCAGGAGGCTGAGGCAGGAGGATCCTTTAAGTTCAGGTATGTGTTCAAAGGCAGTCAACATAAGAAGACCCTGTCTCAAACTAAATAAATGGATAAATAAGATGGAACTGAGCTGGAGCCCATGAACCAGAGAAAGGGACATCTTACTGATAAATGAAACCCACTCCCCATAAAAGTACTCCCTTCTTTCCCAGGCATTTAATGGTCATAAATGACCTGATGAACTCTTAGAAACTGAGGGACCCAGTCAGCAAGGGAACAAAAGCACTTTGTCCTTGCAGAGGTTCCTGTTGCTGATAGCCAGGGAAGGGGCCTGGGTTCTCATCTTGCCTGGTCCACTTAATAGGTGACTTGATCAGCTCATTTAGAAAGGGCAGGTAATATTGATCATAACCAGGATTAGCTTTGTGTGTGTGGTGCTGAAGATCTCACCAAGGGCTTTACACATATAGGCAAGTGCTCTACCACTGAGCTACATCCCTAGCCCTAGTCAGGATTTAGAATACACACTTTAAAGAAGAGGTTACTTAAGATGAGAACATTGTTCATTATTGCACTGCTGCGATCCCTGGCCCTCTCCGTTCCACAAGCGCCAAAGCCAGGTTACCTCACCGCGGTTTGCTCCTCTGCAAATTGGGCTGTTTATGATATGAGGTCTGCTGGGAGAGAGAACACGCAGCACAGGAGATGCGAGAGTCCTGCAGAGGGCGGCAGTGAGCCACGCAAAGGCCACAGAACCTGGCCTTTAGGGATTCTTCAGCAGCGTCAACATTAACAGGCAATCACAGATGGAAGCCCACAGGCCAAACACTCAGATGTGTTTTGTTTAACCCATCCATGCACTTTACCCATGGTGCTCACAACATTTTACAGATGAGGACAAAAGTGAGGCCCAGAGAGGGGAAAGGAACTGCCAATGTCACACAGCCCAGGTGTGCACTAGGGAGACCTTAAGTGGAGTCAGACCAGCCTGGCTGCAAGCCCTGAGATTGCTTACTCCAGACTGAATGTCTGGAGGGCATCCATTTTCAGTGGTGCTGGAACTTGGGGCAAAGCAGGAGGACCCCTCATATCCATGCAGAAATAACAGCTTTTGGAAGCAGATATTCTTGGATTTTTTTTTTCTTTTTTTTTTGAGACAGGGTCTTGCTATGCAGTTTAGGGTGGCCTTGAGCTCACTTTGTAGCCCAGGTTGGTCTCAAACTCGCAATGATCCTCCTGCCTCAGCCTCCCGAGTGCTGGGATTGCAGGCATGCACCACCACACCCGGCTTTCTTGTTCTCATTTAAACGTTTAGGAAACTGAGGCATCTCAGAGAGAGACAGACAGTACTCCTCGCCAGTTGGTGGTCAAAGCCTGTTTCCTTATCCCTTCACTCAGCAGGCTGGTTTGGGTGTCCTCATTTTGTACTCCTCAGGCTCTCTACAGAGAGCAGCTCTGCTGTGTGTCGAGCCTCCCTAGGCTTCCCTGGGCAACCGTCGAAGACTGTGCTGCACACTTGGTCCTGGCTGTCCTATCTTCCATTTAGCCCTGTTGGCCAAGGCCGAGACTGATCACCCTTTTACACTGAGAGTAATCAGCTAAGGTCCGAGTCACGCAGGGAAAAACTACACTGGTTTCTTGAGCTCAGTGGAAGCAAAGGGGGCAAACAATACAACCCAGGATGCCCAGGACATAGGAAAAGAGATGTGGTGCTGCGTGACCTGGGGGAGAAACTCCCATGTATTATCCAGTGGAAGGTGTCTCCATGACAGTCCATATGGAAACTGTTGCTTTATCACCCACCCCGGGCCCATAGCATTGGAGGGTGGTTGGCAGCTGGGCTACTGGCATTGGAGACTCAGCCTGGCCTTGGCTGTCGCAGGGAGTGACCTGGTCTGACACCTCTCTGGATCGGGCCGTAAGGCATTCCCTAGCGCGCTCAGCCCTGACGCAGGTGAGTGGCAGGACTGTGAGGAAACAAGCCCCCAGTATTCTTGTTTCAGGTGTGCACAACTGGCCAGGAACTCCCCTTGGCAGGGTGTCTCTGAAGCAGTAAGCCAGCTGTCCTTTTTACGAGCCAAGAGTGGAACAGCCAGGTTGGCAGCAGTCGGGATCTGGGTTTTCCCCAGAGTACAGAGGCGAGAGGGGAACGACTTGGTGGTGGTGGTGGGGAGTCCAGCCCAGAGCCCACTCCACCTGTTCCCACGGGTGCCCGCAGTCCCGCTCCTGCGGAGCGGCCCCTTTAAGAGGCGCGCCGGGCTCCGTCAGCCGC